ATATAAAAAATACTTTAATATTATTGGCTATTTGACTATATATGTATATATAGGACGTGATAAAATGGGGACCCCCCCTCCCCCCTAAAAAATTACGTGATTTCCTGCACTTCCCTTAGCCAATCATATAAATGAAGCATATTTGCTTTATCTGATTGACTATATAAAAAAAAAAATTCTACAATCCTTGCTTTGTTGATATAGGCTGAATATGAAAACCAATTATATAAATTTATATGGCCTTAAATAAATTTATTTTTTCCTGAAGTATTATGAGGGTTAAAGAGCTAGTATCTATTAATATTACTAATCATTAACGGAGTTTATTTTTATATTGTATAGAATATCCAAAATGGAATCAAATTTAATTAGAAAATTATTAAAAACCTTTGCTATGTTAAAAAAAATTAAAAATTTTCAATTAAAACCAATTTTTGTCAATCAGTCACGTGATCGTACATTTTACTGAGTATTCTGGAATGCTTTTTTATAAACAGGAGGAAACGTTGAACGTCACAAAATCGTTACACAATTGATAAAAATTTTTTTATATTATTTTACAATACTTTTTTGGAAGGCTCGTTTGACTTATGAATATTGAAAATGATTAAACAAACATGAAGCTCTCACTTTGCTTTACAACATATTTTTTGAATCCCCTTGAATCCCATGGTTTCGTCTTTTTGTAAATTTTGCAATTTGATTGGTTGACTAATCCCGTAGTGGTATTTTGACTGGTCGATACAATGAGTGATCTGTGTAACGGAGAATGAAAATCAAAAAATAACGATTTTCAAGCTCTGAGCGAAGATATCTCAACCATCTGTCCAAATTCGATAAAACTTTTTTTATTTGGGTTTTATGGATCCATAGAATAGAATTCGAATAAAAAAATTTACATCGAATTTAATCAGGTGGTTGTCTCGCTCTTTCACTAAATATTTACGGGTTTTGGGCATCCATGAATAGTATTGAATAAATACCCGGATTTTACATGGATACTCAAAATGTCCAAATAGATTAGATCATTCACGACGACTATTCACGAATTTCGTGTAATTAATATTCATTGAATATTCACGAATGTGTAACAAGTATTCGTTTTTAAATTGAATATTCATTTTTAATCGTGGATATTTACGGATCCCACACTGTTATAATAAAGTCATCATATTGAGAAAAAAATCTTCACTATAGTTTATAGAGAATATTATATGTGCAGTACTTCACTATATCGAGTTGAAGTTTAATAATTCCATAAATCAAAATTTACTATATCGAAGTTGTATTACTCAATATAAAAAACAAACATATCGGCGGATTTGCGGAATGGATCTAAATTAGGGTCCCTGGATTTAAAAATTGCAGAATGCATAATGACTGAAATTTTGGGTCATCGCATTGTTAAAATATATGTGCCTTAATTTTGGCAATTCCGCAAATTCGCCGATATACAATGAAGTGGCTTTTAATAATTTTTTTAGAGAAAATATGGGAAAAAAAGATTTCCGAATTTTTTATATTAGCCAAAACCACTCCCTCATTAAAGTATTGTTGGTCCAAGGCAAATTACAACAGGACTGATATTAAAGTTTGAAATGAAATTTAAGTGCATCAATAACGCTTAAACAAGTATGTGACATTTAGTACAATAGATTGTTTATAATTACAATAATTTTTTTATAAGTGTCTGGGTTGTCCCACATCCAGAAATAAAAGTTCACGCTATAAACCGACTTAAATAATAATGTTACATCCTGTGAGTCAACAAAATTTATGCTATTTAAAGCGAATTTGATAAAAATATCATATAACAGTAATCATTGTTATAAGTCAAACAGGGATGTTGTTCAAATAATCCAGTAGCTTCTTAATTTTTTGATTACAAATTATCGTTATTTTACTTGATTAAAAAAAATTTCGTAGGTATATATAATTCTAAGTGAAAAGCAGTTGTATATAAAGCAATTTTAACATGATGCAGTACGCATCTATATTTTTAGAGAATCCTTCACCTGCTCCACCTACTGCTTCAGCTAATCAAAACTTTTATCAATAAATTCACTATATTGAAATAATTTTATATAGATTGATCTTTGATACTAAACCTTCACTATATCGAGAATTCACGATAAACTACAAATTTTAGCTAGCGCTAAGTGGGTTCGTTATGTTATGCAATCCAATGATCATTCATTAATATAATGTATTTTCTTGACTTTGCTTGTTATGGATGCATATCCCATGCAATTCATAGTGCCGGGGTTAAAGTGACAGACTTAGGTAGCGCACCCATAATTTTTACGGAGAATAAAACCGCAGGGTTAGGATGAGAATAGTGTAGGGTTAGAGTTGGAGCTATTGGTAAAATTTCACGAGGAACATTTTTAATTAGACCGCAGAAGGTGGTTTCTTAATTAAAATTTCGAGTTATTTCAGTTTTTTTTGTAAAAAAAAAAAGGGTTCGCTTCGATTGTTTACGTTACACCCGATCTTGACCATGAAACGTCGAAGCATTTCACATACTTACCAATTAAATTTTTTTTTTTTTTTTTTTTTGGAGGCTACTTATATTCTGATCTAATTTTATTCGCCAGATTTTCAGTTTCATGCAATATTCGACTCGAATGAGTCGGTTCATGTTCGGTTTCGGGTTTCGGAAAGGACATAATCCCGACAAATTTAACCGGTATTGGCTAAAAATACTGGCCGATTTCATGAGATTATTTCTTTTTGAAAATAGCTTTCGGAAAATCAGGCCTTCAATATATACACTAAAAAAAAACTGCCTAATTTGGAGGTCGGAGTGAATTTGAAAATTTTATTAAATATTAGGGTTAGGGTTAGGTTAGAGTTAGGGTTAGAGAAAGCTATAAGTAAAATTACCTTCCCGACATTTTTTGCTAATGCACCAAAGTAGATTTAGGCTACCGTTTCTTGTATTTTCTTCATTTCTCTCTTTTTTTCGCTTGTTTTGCCTCGTCGGGTGATCCGGGTTAGTTTAACCTATCTCCTAATCTGATTGGTTGTCATAATACGCATTATTTGCTCAGCATGCAGACATCCAAATCTTTCTTATGGCAAAATAAAAAGCAAATTCGTTATTGCCAAATATGCATCATTATCTTTATTATGTGCCCTATAAGAAATTTTTATCCGAATTTTCCATTTTTTCCATATTTTTTGTGAAAACTCCAAACATGATCGACAAAATCTAGGCGAGCCGAATAATTAAGTTTCGTGAATATGCAATATTTACGGAAAAAACATGGAATGTAAAACACGGAGCGACTTTTTTTATAGGGGTGGAGTTCATATAATAAGAGTTGCTTAGATTAAATTATCATAAATTGTTGTGTATTTTGCAAAAATATATAGTTAATTTCTACAGATTTATTAAACAGAAATTAACTATTCTTAAAGCAATCAGGGAGCTTGTACATATGTAGATATTTATTTTGTTTCTTAAAGATCATGAGTTGTACTCATGATGCATTTCATTTAAATAAGAGATTTGTGTTTCATTTACACTGTAAATTCAATAATATCTATACCTAGAATTTATATCTCATTATTTTTTCGATCGCATTGTTTCTCATTTTTATAAAATTCCTAATGGAAGAAAAACATATTGTTATTTAGGAAATTGAATTTTCTTTCTGGCATATTCTTCTCACTATAATCATTCCTTTTTTTATTATCTCAACTCGATATATAACAAATGTCATTAATAATCGAGATTATTTTTCTTTCATTAGCAACAACAATCACAATTATTTGTGGCATTCTAATCGGAAGACAAGTTCTCATAACACCTAACTCTCTAAGATTCACATGGTATGATGCACATAATAACGATAAATAATAATTAAATTATGACTTGAATTCTGACAAGTTTTTTCATTAGCTTTTTTTGTATACTCCTAAATCTCTCCATTTTAATACTTGGTTATACCCGCATCTTTCTCGACTTTCCTAATGTGCCATGGTATTATAATATTTATTTGCTGTTTACCGCAATCTACTCAGATACTCTCTGTATATGTATATTGAACCTTGGTCGAAGGTTTTATTCACAAGACTATCGAAACACTTATCTATTCAAAATTGCAGTAGTATCTCTTATATTAAGTGGCATTAGCTGTTTCGTAACTGTGATACTTGTCATTTTTGATTGTTATGATGAGATTGTTATTATCTTTTTCATAATAACTTTGTCTTCCTTCGTCATTTGTAATTGTGTTGCTTTCGCATATTCTTTTTTACCAATTTTTTCATCTCGTAGCCACGTACAATCACATTTAGACCATCTTAATATTGCGATAGGCATTTACTATATGGTCAGCCTTGGAGTTATTGCATGTTCTTCCATAATATGTCACATTTTTCTTCATATCTTTGGTGGACCTTCCTCAGAAGAGTGGCAGATTGGTGCATCTGTCGACATCATGTTACGAAGTATTATTACCATTATTGTTGGTGTTCCTCCACCAGAATGTCTGATACAAAAATTGAGAATAAAACTGTTTGAAAGAGCAATTACCAACATCACAATTCGAGAAAGAGGCGTTGTGAGCACTGGTATCATCGTGGATGGATTTTGCGAATGGCAAGTGATGGAAAAATAAATAACAGGCGTATTATTATTCTATTTTCAAAAAAAAAGCTTTATTTTTTCTTTATTTTAGTGTATATATATAAATAGAAATAGCTTTTTATAACTTTTTAACAATTGATTAGAATTTTATATATAGTGATGCCTATCTACGTATACGTTATATTATAAATTATCATGAAATTTTCGATATCTTTCTTTTTTATTCCTTTGTTTAAATTTCTTTTATGAGCATTTACATAAATAATAAAGTCATCATGCATTTAGGAAATCCGTATGTATATAATAACCTTTATGGTTAAAAATGCAATATGGATAGATTAAATAAACCTTACAAGAGATTTTTTTCAATAAGATTTTCCAACTATATCAAAAATATCTAATTACCAACTTGACGAGACATGATTATGTGCATGATTGTGATGTTCGTAAATATCCACAAGGCTTTTGTTTGTTGAACAACAGATAAATAAATAAATATACTGTAGTGCAGTGTTGTTGTTGACTGGAACTTGAAAACATCCTATGTTTTAGTGGTTCAATTTATTCTTCAGTAGAACAATGTATATTGAAAATATATGATATTGTCCAATTAAAAATGCAAAGTCCTAATGATAGTATTTCACTTCTCTCCCCCAACATTCATCCCATTTTACCCATAATTGCTTCCCGAGCATTTTACTTTCCCGACATTTCATTTACCGTACAAGCACGAAATAATGCCCACCTGCACATTATTTTAAGTACGCCCATATGTATTATTTCGAAATAAGGGTCGATTTTTAAATCATACCCGTTCTACAATGTTTTAGCTAGTAGTTTGATATTCTTGAGTGGTTCTAAAGTAGTATTTTAAGGTTAAAGTTAGTGTAAGGCCTATATTTAAGGGGTTTTTTTTTATAATCTATATTAAAAAAAAATAAAAAAATTTAATTTCTAAGGTGAAAGGGGTATTGTGACGAAGGGGTGTTGATCCTATGATTAGAATAGAGTGAAATTTACACCATTCGATTCGTCTCAGTGAGAGGAATCGAATGATATAAGTTTCATTCGATTCTGACTGCTATATCGCGAGATATTAAAATTAATGTACTTTTTACAATATTACAAATAAATACATTTGTGACTCAGTGATCCAAATTGGGCAATTCTTATACTATTCGATTCCTCTCATTGAGAAGAATCGAATGGTGTAATAATCACCCAATTCGGATCACTGAATCACGAGATATTAATGTTTAAACCATTTAGATATATAGAATATATGGGGGTGAGTCAGTAGAAACGCACCATATTTTTTCTAAGTAAATTTTTTTGAAACTTTAAACAAGAAT